TCCCTACAGACATGGTACCATCTACATACCAACAACTATTGAGCCCATCATCCATCATTTAATCTACATGGGTCCACAGAATTGTGAGTTCAAATGCCTTGCCTATGGCTAGAACATTGCTTTGGTAATCATTTCTCACTCCTCACCACTTATATGTTCTCTAACCTCTGTTTTGATTATTGCACAATTTTGGTCCTCAGTCCATCTTATAATTGTGCCTGTGATGCTGTTGGGTGCATGGTAGCTGACAAGTATTATCCAAAATGAATTACATGATTGTAATGAATGCACAAGTGAGTCAGTCATATATCTAGCAGCATTCATTGCAAGTAGTCACTCCATTTCAGCAGATGCTATTGCTGATTGGTGTCATGAACAGTGATGATAGTGTCACATGTGGAATCACATTTTAGAGGGTGCATAGGCATGCCAACATGGTGTCAGAACAGTTGAGTTGCATATGATTGCCCCTTAGGCTCAGGCATATGGTTTCATTATTTAAGTGTATGCCTGACATATCTAGAGTACAGGGAGGTTGACTTATGATGTGTTTATCAGTCACTGATTGCTACAGTAAAATCAACAATTAATGGCTTTCATATGTATGTTGTGACCAACCATTATGATCAAACAGATGTCATAAGAGAACTGCCCAGTGTGAGTGATGATGTCAATAAACATATTCTCTTAATTTCTCTGCCATCTTTGAGTTCCAGTCTGTCATATTTCTGCTTAAATTGTAGACAGCTGATTACAAAATCAATCACCCTGTCAATAGGGACATGAATCTCAGTGACAAAGATCTCTGAGCTATTCAAAGTGGTAAGAGGTTGTGAAACCCCTGATAATGCTTGGTGACATGGTTACCAAAATGGAGTATACCATTATAAATTAGTAATTGATTAGTATAATCATCATTTACCAAGCATACAACAGCGATTACATCAGTACTGAAGGATCCTATGATAACTGGAATGAGCAGGAACACAGTAGAGATTGGGAGATTGGGAAATAGTCACAATAATAGTCCAGATAGTATATGCATTGTTAAGTGCTTCAAAGCATTGAAATGTCAGTGTGCACATATATTGGTAATAGTACAACAAAAGCATGCAATGATGACAAGTGAAATTCTGACAGAAAAGATAGACAGACATAGAATACACATTAAAAACATTCAACAGATGTAGCCACTTGCTAATGGAAAAACAATGTGGTTTCCTTGCTTGAGCTCCAAGGTCATCTGCCTCAGGAACATGTATTTGTGACTTCCCCTACTGAGCCAGTGTTCTCATTTCTCTACCCATCAATTCTTTTTTGATTTTGAGTGATGGCATGCACATTGGCATAAAGTACACAATGCTGAGTGACCCTTTATGTGGTGATATAGGCATAGGTTGGACAGAATAGGAATGTGGAGATGTATTCTGGTGGTAGTACCTATATAGTATTGATCCAACATGTAAGTATGCTTCATTTTGCCTGGTACAACACAAATAGCTGCTGGAATCCCTGTAGTGAAGTCAGTGATCACTCAATGGTTTTCATTGGATGCTACATAGAGGTGTTGCCACAACAAAAATGTGGGCAGCATGAAGTAGTTGACAAATTTCAACTTGTCAATATGGGTACAGCACTATATAGCCATTGTCAGTCATTTCAACCAATAATTTACAAGACATTACATGAGCAGCACTGTAGTAGTCAGCTTGAATATTGGATTGGGCAGCAAACACAGTCATATGACTTGCAAAGAAGCTGTCACTGTTGTGAAGCAACACCACAACAATTGTCAAGCATGCCCCAATTTTGTAATGATTATTGAGCTCAGATCAGATAGCAAACCACCAACTCACAGGGAAATCCTTCTGCCCAACATAGTAGCCAGATACTTTGATGGAATGTCTGTGAGTATTTTATTTGGTTATATGAATCAGATAAGTGGGAGAGAAACCAAATTTAGTCGGAAGTCCCTCAAGCTACATGGTAAAGTGATACCCAAGATCAGATCTATGATATGACACATACCATTGTGGATTTTTGGGGTATTTTTGATTTTATCATGGCCATGGAAGAGCAGTAACACTCAAAAGGGCAGTTTTGACCAAAAGTAGCAGTATGCTAAGGGAGTGACATTGCTATCCTGCATAGATATTATCTAAGGAACCTCATGAACTGTATGTCTAATGAAAGTTGCCCTGGATCCAATCTCCCAGTTTTGCATTTTGATTCAGCAGTCTAGCAATGATACAACTTCACTATCCAGTGGGTCTAAAAATGTGGATATGCTGTGTTATTTATTTGAATCATTTGCACAAAGTAAAGAAAACCATGACAACTTGTGCACTTTTTGTTTTGCATATTGTGGCATGAGTAATGGACACTACAGCAAACTGATAACCATTATAGAGTCTATAGTATGAGGACTACTAGCATGAATATTTCGAGGTCTTTTGGATTCATTTCAACTTGTGGCTGAGAATGGTGAATCCTATTAAGGACAATTACTTTTTGCAGCAGTTTAGTTTGCAACAGAGTCTGGGAGACTACACTGCAAGATGACTTGTTGACAGGTCAAAATTTTGACCTGTCAACGAGTGAATCTCACATGGCATGGGCGCTTATTGAGCACTTATTGCACAATGTAGCCTGAATCATTACAAGCCTTCAAAGTACACATCAGTAACAAATGATACAAGCATACTATACCCTCCTGAAAGCCCTTCATTCAGAGGATATATTGTGTGAATGCTATGCATATACAATGGCTAGTGAAGCCACAAAATGCAAAAGAAAAAAACTCACATGTGCCTCTGCATCTACAAGGGTGGGGCTTATATCAGAAACAGCAGCAAGTAGATTGTAATGTACACTACAGGACACAAAGATGCTCCAAATAGCAGGTCTCAGGTGCTTATAGGCATACAATTGCATTCTTCAAGATCATTTACCAGGCACAAAGGACCACAAGCATGTCACTGAGGCATTTGTGTGATTTCTTATTTTGTAAATTGTGCCCTGTGTACTGAACTGCATGAGAAGGTAAGACTAGCAATAGACTCTATAGTATGAGGGCTATAAGGCATAATATTTTGAAGATTTTACGGATTTTATTGGCCTATAGTAGCACAGTAACCATGCTACTAATGGTCTTGCAGCTGAATTTCAAACTCAGCCCAAACATCGGCAGGCCTGCCTTAACAGGGCAAGGAAATGGGCTTATCAGCCAATCGGCATCTCTCCCCTGCCGCACGGAGTTGCATCCGCCTGGAATTTCCAGGTGGATGCAACTCCGAACGGCACACGGGCGCTTAATGGGCGCTTAGTAAGCGATGCAAGCCTTTTACTTCTCTTAAACTAGCTTGTACAGATCTAAACAAATGCGGAGAAATCAGTGAATATTATCAAAAGCATAGACAATGAATTGAAAGGCTCCAATTGAGAAGGAAGACTCTATCTCATGTTACACCTTCAATACATCTACATTGGTTGCTGAATCATCAGCCCAGTGCTTACAGAAGCAATACATTAGGCTCTAGTCACTGTCTGTGTAGCACACATACTCCCACAGATGCTAAGCATGTATCATACATGCAGTGTTTAGTCAGAGGGGCCCAGATGAGGTCTATAAGTGTGCTGTTCTGTGTATTGCCATAAGTAGTAGGCAACCTGCCCAATAAGGAAACCATAGCTGATACAGGGCAAATGGGCTTGTTATGAGCTTGTAAAAATGTGCAAAATCCTGATAATATAATAAGAAGCTTAACAGGTACAGTTGGTCATCATCAATGACACAGGTCAGTGATAGACATGACACATCAGCAATAATATGCTCACTAGTGTTCAAATTGCCCAATATTGCTCATCTTTGCTGTATCACAGAAGCAACTGACACATACAAAGTCATTCAACTGCATGAGGTCACTGTCCTGATGATTCAGTGAGTATCTGGAGCAGACACAGGTGCTTTGACTTATGCAAAGGCACATGTAGATTTTTTTGTTTTGCGCTTTCCAGCCCAACCAGCCACTGTAAGTGCTTAGGAATATTACTGTATCCTCTTTGAACGGATGGCTATCAGATGGGCATACTATGTCTACTATGATTACTTACTAATTGACTGTATACAGTGTGAGCGCTGGCAGGCCACAGCAGCCAGCCAGCCTGTAAGTCGCATGATGAAAGCCACCAGTTGCCATATTGGGCACCACTGGAAGGTGTTTCATGGGCCCTCACCCCAGGACAGAGCAGCCAGCCACAGCATTTATTTGTATCTGTTGGTGCAAGTCGCGTCGTCTGGGAGTTTCAAATTTTAGGTCCCACTAATGGACATTAGTATCAGTTACTTATCTTTGCTTATCTGGGCCTCAAAAAGTCACGTGGACTCCTTCCAAATCGGGCGCCACTGTAAGGCGTTTCATCCCCTCCAGTCATAAGAACGATTCCTTCGTACCTCAGGGATCGTAATGCCGATACAAAACCATGATAACTCGGTAATTGATCGGTAATAATCACCATTTACCAAGCATACAATAGCTCTTGTATCAGTACTGAAAGCATCTGGTCATAATGAGTAAGAACACACTAGAAACTCGGTAATAGTCCATTTAGTAGATACAGTAACAAGTGCTTCTAAAGCATAAAAACATCGGTAATCAATACCTTGGTAATAAAACAATGAAAGTGCTACATTGATGTCCATTTAGTGGAATAAAGGAAAGATAAGGAGAATAAGATAAGCACATAACAAACCTTCACTGATGCAGCCACTCAGTAAGTAAACACTTCTAATGAGTTTCTGTGCGCTCTGAGGCTATCAAGCCTCTATCCCTAACAAGGGCCTCCGTGTCATACCATGACATGAATGTTGGAACATATGGCCGAGCGCGTGCCCAAATGCCGACGTGCCGATGTGCTGTGATGTAGCGCAATGCTACTGTACCCACTGTTCCCCTTAATGTACCTGCCTCATCAATTAAATTACATATATTGTGGTGCAATCACCTGTATTTACCCTTCGCACGTTTGCCTTCCCGCCCTGAGGACGAGACAAACTGCTCCAATACCATTGTGTTTTTGCCGCTCACTCGCTTCTTTTGCTTGTTCCCACGCCTTGCCAACGCTTACTTCAACATCAAACTCCACCAGTGCGGGCTGACCCGCCCATGGCAGTTTTGCCCATATGCTGAACAAATAACGTGAATCAGAACACGTGAACAAACAATAATGATGCACTTACCTCCCAGCATGCACAATGTTTGAATTAAAGCATCTGAAGGGTGCACCAATGTTGGTGTCGGCTGCTTTCAGGCCCTTGATATGGGTTGCAACCAAACCAGCCTTACGCTTATACGAGTCAGTAGTGAAGTTCTTCGAGGTGTGCACGCTGTCCGTGTTGAACTTCAACTATTTCAGGTGTTATCACACGGGATAGGACTTATCCTTACCCATTATGAACTTATGTTCTTCATTGCTACATATTATGTACATTCTTGATGGACTTGATCCAGACCTGTAGCACATGACTTGTTCTAGACCTGTATGGAACATTCCACATGGTTCCATCATATTCCAGATCATTCCTTGATCACATCACTTCACATCACTTCACATCATTGATCTAGGCCTGTCCAGTCCTTTCCAGTGCCTTCCAGCACGTTCTATCTATAGTGCCATATTGCATCATCATGACACAACATGTGTACGCCTTACTCATCCTGCTACAGGCTTACACATGATGCTTACTTACGCTTACTGTACGATCATGTGATGACTCCTCATGTGTATATATACTGGGTTGGATGCCCCTGTAATGCATCGGTCTCTCTTGTCTTACGCCTGCTGAGTCTTCCCTCTCAGTCTCTTGAGACCTTGCAAGCCCTCCATTGACTGCTGTCCTTAACTGGTCTTGTACTCTGTTAAGTGTTGCCTTCACACTAGCCACTCCCTTTTCACTCCTTGTTCAACAGTCTGAAGCAAATTCCTCTGCACTGCAGAGTGCAGCCATGGCTGCAACCGCCATTCCTTCGTTTGGTATGCCGTCCATGAATAAATCAGGGCAAACACGGCCTAAGCCACTGGGTCTCTGGAAGTAGACTGCATTGAGGATTGCTGGAATGAGCCCACCACTCTCGTAAGCCCCTGTAATGGTTCCCTATGCCAAATTTGTTCAGTACAGGCAACGGCTTCACCAAATCAGGTCATACCTGGTTTTGTTGACTCAACTCGTGGAGGAGTGGTGTTGTTTGTAAAGTTGAATCAATAGCTGTCATCGCCCACTCTTGCCTGCTTGTGCAAGCCGCATCGTGCTCAAGCCCAAGCTCGCCAAGATCTTGTTCAACGAGTGACAACATCTTGGGAGGGACAAGGTGGACCTTGTGAGTTACGGGGAATAGAGTGGCTGCCGTTGACTTGAAGATACCACGGAACGTGCCGATCATCTGCTTAGCCTACAAACAACAGAATTAGCATGATATAGCATTCATCAGAGCCACAGTGCGGCAATGGAAATTTACCTTTGTGTGCAGAACATTATCATTGGCTGCATCATAATCTACAAGTGTCCCGTGCACATGCACTACAATGAGGTCGCTATGAAGGTCATTCTGGGTTGCCTTCCAGACAACAGCTTTGACAAGCTGTGGGATCTCATCCTCAGTGGGGAAAGCCAGGGTGACCATGATGATTGATCCAATTCCCTTCTTAATCCCTGGAATATACGCCTTCTGGAACTCTTTGAGCAATGGGCCTGGCATTCAGTTCAACTTTGACAGTTGTGGACGATGTTCAGATGACACCAAGTTGTCCTCTTCAACATTCTGCGGTGTTGCTTGGCCTGCCACTTCCTTGCTGAGTTGACTACACACACAGTGGACTGATCACGTACCCGATGGCATTCTGGCGGGATGGTTTCCGGATCTGTGCTCGGCAACAACACTCTTCGGGTGCACATTTGCTGACATGGCGGTGAATGCATACAGTAACGATGCTCCCCCCAAAGTCGAATTCAGCGGATACCATGACCCGGGCTGGCAAGGTGCCAGCATGTTTGGCGTGGGCCCAAGGGATATACAAGAGGCTGTCCAACAGGCTTAGCCGGGTCAGGAGCAATACAACCAATTTGCAATGGACTGTCAGGTTAGTGGGCTTTTGGTGTGATGTCCGCAGACACTAAGTAGCCCATTACTGTAGTCTGCCACTCAGTATCAGAACCAACCTCAGGTGTTTGCCGCACCATCAGCAAACTATACTACACCAGTCCACGTAACATTCAATACACCCCACATTGGAACTTCATACCCGAGCCCCAACTCATATGACTTGTGGCAACCTCAGGCTGCAGGTGAGTTGTGGCATTCTTGTCAGAGTCCGGACTGTAGATGTTGATCCTCCTCCCTTCACAGCATCTGCCAGTGGTTCTTCACTGGCGTCTTGGAATCAGGCTGTCCTTGATCTGCAACCTTCTGAGCCTCATGACATTGGTTCTAGTATTGGGCCAGATCGTCGCCAGTTGACCACACAGCCCTGTCATCACCCATACACCGAGAGCAGGTCACGCTCTCAGAGTAGTGTTAGCCGGTCAGTTGAATGCATCCCGCCACTCCCATCACAAAGGCAGCGACAGCAGCCTCGGACCATGTCGAGCCTATTCAGAGGATTTTCACGTTATTAATGGTACAGCCAACATACATTTCCGCTGTTACGGAACGGTTAGTCCTTTCGCATCTCATCAGCACGATCTGCATCATTCGTACTATCCTCATCACCCCGTGCGGTGATTATCTATCTCGGGCGGCTACCTGTAGCCGTGGCCCGCCTCTGTACCATACGCTACCAGACACTGCCCCAGTGATCTGCTTACGTATCTCTCCGTGCTGATCGCACTATCTCGTGTATTTAAACTCGTTGTACAGTAGCGGTCGAACTTCACGTTCGACCTGGTTAACTCTTGAATCCTATCTCCTTCGCTTGCCCACTTCCCCTACGCCTTAGCGGCAGGTGACGACCAAGCTCGGATAGGCCCGACCAACCAGGAGCCTTTGAGGAAGCCAGCACGGCTAGTCCTCTCGAACGCCCCGACGGATCCAGACTCTAGACGAGAGTAAGTCCTTGTTAAAGGCAGCGTCTTCAGTAGAAGTTTGTTTTCGTATTGGCTATCGCCTTCATCGTTGTCCCGCTCCTACCCATCGCGTAACATCCACCGTCACTAACGGAAACCCAACGGCCGGCGCCTGAGATGCCCATTTTTAGCTGACTGGCTGGTCTTGTTTTGAATGGACCGGCTGACAATGGGGAACACCCACAAGTGTCACTAACAAGGGGCCGGTGTTTACCCATATGGAAATAAAGGGACCGGCCAGAGATTGGAACCTACATTTATAACAGACTGGCCGGAGGTCATATACCCACATTGATAATGCTCCGGCTGGACTTCATCCCTATGGCTGTAAATGGTCCAGCCGGAATGCATCCCTATGGTTGTAAATGGTCTGGCCGGAGGTCATATACCTTCATACATGATGTACCGGCCAAAGATGATATACCTACATTGATAACACACCGGTTGGAGGCAATATACCTGCATTGAGAAAGAACCGGCCGGTCATATGTACTTACACTCAAAACAAACCGGCCGGGCATGACATACTTTCACTACACATTGACCAGCTGGGCATAGCATGTCTATATCAGAAATGAACCGGCCGGTCATATGGAACCTGAATATCAATTGCTCTAACCATCCTGGAAAACATATTCATAGATGCACTGAGTTTTCTGGACCATAAATGCACTGGACCCAGGTTTTCTGGGCTTGGAATACATTGAAAAGCATCCCCATAGATGCTCTCATACATACAAACCATTCTGGAGCTTACAGTCGATTGCAGAAATCATGGCACTCGCAGATTTTTTTCGACGCGCGCAATGACGCGCGTAAATCTTCCGACCCAAAGTTCCGAGCTTCCTTACCAGTGTCTCTAGCTATGATAATGCAGCATAACTTGCTTCTCTGTTCTGGAAATGACAATAACACTACCAGATAAGTCCCTGGTCATCATAGCAGTGAGGTTTAATGGAGAAAAATACGGCAATGCGTAGAACTGGGTTCTGTTACGCGGTCTATCCAATTGTGGTAATAATGCACGTGATTGTTCTGTGCTCAACACACCAGACTTCCTATTGCGCATTCAGCTCATGGATCCTCCTTTTTTATGTCATAGACCTGTTCCAAGACACATAGAGTAACATGTGGTAGTGTAAATTGCTGTAATTTTGGTAGAATACATGAGAGATTCGTCATTCGACGACTCGGAAGATGGGCCGGAAGATGCGTGGGAACTTCAGTCGGAAGGTTCATGCGCGTGTCGAAAAATTCTGTGTGCCAACATATTTGCAATCAACTGTAAAGATCATCATAGCCAAGCTTTCTAGGCTGGAAACAGAACAGAACCAGCCTTTCTGGGCTGGAATTGCTTCAGAAGCCATTCTTACATATGTTGTTACCTCCCCAAATCATAATTACAACTGATCCAAACATTCTGCACAAAGTCCGAGTGTTTTGCACAATCACCGAGCATTCAGTGTGTTTCGGTGCTGAGTGTCGAGCACAACCTCGGCACTGAGTGCTCAATGCACCCTCAGCGCCGAGTTGTGCTAAACCTGAGGAATAATGGTGTTTCTAACAATGATCACAAAAAGGTTACTGATGTTTGTTACACCAATGACCTTTTGTGGATCAGTGAATGCAAAACAGTAGGTTCATTAGGAAATCTTCTAATGACACTACAAAGGTTTGTATGTGGTTACTTATGAAAAGTGATGTTTATATCCCATGTTGTAGGGAATTGTCTGTTGATAAGTAAATCTTCTATTGACACTTCAAGGATTCTCAACAGTTAGGCCGGTACAGCTGCTTTTCCTGTTCTGGCTGGTAAGTAAACTTACTGATGACACTACAGTGTGTTGTATTCAATTTGTACATTTGTAGCTCATCTTATAGGGAATGTTGGGTTCATTAGTAAATCTTCTAATGACATTACAAAGGTTTGTATGTGGTTACTTATAAAAAGGGATGTTTGTATTTCATTGTGTAGGGAATGGTCTGTTGATAAGTAAATCTTCTATTGATACTTCAAGGATCTTCAATGGTTAGGCCAGTACAGCAGCTTTTCTTGTCCAGCCAATAAGTAAACTTATTGATGACACTACACACATTTGTATCTCATCTTGTGGGGGAACAATGGATTGATAAGCAACTATTATGATACAACTACATGGATTTGTACATCTCATGCTATTGTTAGTACAGTAGACAGAACACCACCCTACAAATATGTAGTACTATGACAACTTCTGGCTGATCTAGTGCCCGCACTAAAGTTGGTAGCACTTACAGCTTGGAAGATTAAGCTATAAGATTTGGTACATGTGCTGCTGGCTGTATGAACATACATTATAGCCACTAACCTAATGTGAAGAATACTGCCATGGTGAGGAGAGTAAGAAGGGAGCAGGGACATGCACAACTAGTCATATGCTCTGAAGTGATAAGTAGTTGCCTTTGTGTATAACTTTCATGCTGACATGTGTCCTGATGAACAAGCACATTCATCAAGGCATGTATGGATGGGTTGCTGATACATGTTTCATTTATCCTCATACATTCTGCTATGATATTATGGATGTTGTCATTACCAAGACATACCCTACACATGTAACTGTATGTAGAAACCAATCCCAGATCAATATGTGACATTCTATAGAATTCACACATGTGGTCCTAGGTATATTGCTCTGCTACAGCCTACATTTGGAACTCACTGACTTTCCTGTAAATGCTAGACAGTTCAACCTTGATGTATGATTGTAACTATGATGTACTCTTTTGTGATAATCAGCCTCTTGTTCCTACAGTGTTTCTTTGTCTTGATTTCATTATGTACTAATTGAATACACCACACTGTAGTGTCATCAGTAAGTTTACTTACCAGCCAGAACAGGAAAAGCAGCTGTACCGGCCTAACAATTGAGAATCCTTGAAGTGTCAATAGAAGTTTTACTTATCAACATACCATTCCCTACAAGATGGGATATAAACATTACTTTTCATAAGGAACCACATACAAATCTTTGTAGTGTCATTAGAGGATTTCCTAATGAACATACTGTTCTGCATTCACTGATCCACAAAAGTAACAAACATCAGTAATCTTTTTGTAATCATCATTAAAAATGGCCATATTCTTCAGGTTTAGCACAAATTGTCCACTCGGCACCGAGGTTGCACCAAGTCCCGGCGCCAAGGTTGCACCAAGCCCCGGCACCGAGGGTGCACCAAGTCTCGGTGGGTGCCAAGGTTTGCACTTGCCTTGGCACCGAGGTTTGCACTTGCTTCGGCGCCGGGACTTGGTGCAACCTCGGTGCCAGGACTTGGTGCAGCCTCGGCACTGAGTGTAGAGCACAACTTCGGCGCCGAAGCAAGTGCAAACCTCGGTGATTGTGCAAAACACTCGGAGCTGATGCAGAATGTTCAGATGTGTTGTAAATATGATTTGGGGAGCTAAACACAAGTGCAAGAATTGCTTCTGATGCATTTCCAGCCCATAAAGGCTGGTTCTGGTCTGTTTTCAGCCTAGAAAGCTCAATTTTGATGATTCTAAAGATCTGGAATGGTTTATATGTGCCTAGAAATTGGGAGCATCTATGGGGATGCTTTTCATTGTATTCAATGCCCAAAACACCTGGGTCCAGTGCATTTATGGTCCAGAAAACTCAGTGCATCAATAAATATGTTTTCCAGGATGGTTGGAGCAATTGATTTTCAGGCTCCATTTGACCGGCTGGTTCATTTCTAATATAGACATGCTATGCCCGGCTGGTCAATGTGTAGTGAAAGTATGTCATGCCCGGCCAGTTTGTTTTGAGTGTAGGTACACATGATCGGCTGGTTCTTTCTTAATGCAGGTATATCGCCTCCGGCCGGTGTGTTATAAATGTAGGTATATCATCTTTGGCCGGTACATCATGTATGAAGGTATATGACCTCCGGCCAGACCATTTACAACCATAGGGATGCATTCTGGCCAGACCTTTCCAAACACAGGGATGAAATCCAGCCGGAGTGTTATAAATGTGGTTGCCAATCACCAGCCAGTCCATTTACAACCATATGTGTAAACTCTGGCCAGTTTGTTTACAACTATATGGGTGAACACAGGGCCCTTGTTAGTGACACCTCTGGGCGCTCCCCATTGTCGGCCGGTCCATTCAAAACAAGACCAGCCGGTCTGCTAAAAATGGGCACCTCTGGCACCGGCCGGTGGGTTTGCAACCTCCAGACTCATTGCATCGGCCGACGTCGGGTTTCCGTGAATGATGGCAGAAATGTATGTCAGCTGTACCGTTAATAACGTGAACATCCTCTGATATATGTATTGGTCGTGCTTCCTGGTTGGTCTGACTGACCATGGGAAAATTGCTGAAGGTGGTGGTACAAAGCCAAGAAGACACCCCATTGTTGTATTACCGAGGTATTGATTGCCGAAGTTTTGATGCTTTAGAAGCACTTGTCACTGTATCTACTAAATGGACTATTACCGAGTTTCCAGTGTGTTCTTACTCATTATGACCAGATGCTGTCAGTACTGATACAAGAGCTATTGTATGCTCAGTAAGTGGTGGTTATTACTGATCAATCACAGAGTTATAATGGTTTTGTATTGGCATAGAAAGGAATGGCTGTGCAACAATTACCGAGCCATTCCCGAAGCCATGTTGAATGGCTGTTCTTACTGATGCACTCTAAGACCTGCGACAGTGAAACCTTACTTAGTACAGTCCTCGCACTACTAGTAAGGTTTAAGTAACTCATTGACTGACTTCACAAGTTGGGTTCAGTAAGAGAAGGTGCTTAGTCATCATCTCATTCTGTAAACTTGTTACCAACATCAATAAATCTCTGTATCAACTAGTTCCATACTAGCATGTCTCAGTGGCATTACTATAATTAAAGTGGTAAGCCTAACCAGCAACTCACTTGACACTAAAGCAAGCCTTAAAACCATTAGCTGGCTGACGATTAATTGCCTTAGTGAGCCCCTCTTGAAGCACGGCCTTGCGCTGCTACATTAGGGTTTTGTAACTTGCCATTGTCACTGTGCAGTCAAAGCTAGCTGTTCAGACTTCCATTCAACTTCTGTTGTGTGACTTCAAGCCCAAAGAAGCCCATTCCTTCAGAATTAACCTCTGGATACTAATCCTCTGTATTCAGACTTCATCCTCTATTCTAAAAAGCTCTAAACCTCGGCAATAATCCCCATTCATTGCTGACTTAAATCCATTCTTAGCTTACTCTTCCCAGTTGAAGAGCAGTACTGCATACTTGTATAGCAGCACTGACTAAAGTCCCACCCTCTTTTGTATTTGTTGTGGATCTGGTATCCTCATTACAGATCAACTTTGCACTGTCTTGGTAATTGCATTGCCGAAGATTACAGAAGATTTTACCATTTGTTACCGCTTTGTATAGGCAATACAAATCTCTATTACTGAGGTTACTATTTCTATTAACTCGACAATAAACTCAGTAACTAGCTGTCTATAAACAAAACAGAACCATAACAGTCACGTGATACACTCAACCGTGCCAATGTCAAAGTCCAACATTGACAACTTCTTCTCTCATCCCCACTTGTCTTACCCCTTGCTGCTTCTGCTCCTTGACCTTCAAGATGTACAGAGCAAAAGGGGGCACTGAATGCTCTGGCCGACTCGGTCATGCCTCTGGCAGTGGCACTGGTGAGCCTGCGCGCCCACAGCAAACGAAGGCCTCATCTCCGAGTCCAGAGGACATGGAGCGCATCCTGCAGCTGGCTGGTGTGACGGGTAGGCAATACTATGCCGGCCCTAGTAGATTAGATTATGAACTGTCTAGTGTAGATTAGATTAGATCGTCTGTACTTAGCCATCCTCCTTCCATATTGGGAAGTGATCTACTCTTTTACCTGAACTATCACCTCGTCCGTGTGCGATCCACTGCGCTGTCTGAGAACGTTCAGTTCCTTTCTTGGCCTGAGCTCCTCGCCACGCCTAGGACCCACCCTCGACAGGGCTCCTCGCCCTTGTCTCGGACTCGCCCTCGGCCCGGCTCCTCGCCCGACCTAGGACCAACCGCTCCACAGCAAGGCTCCTTGCCCTGCATATGACCACAGCTGGAGCTCCTCGCCCCGCTTACGACCTCACAAATCACGACAATCCTTTGGTTGCGCTGCGACCACCAATCCGAGAGGTTCACAGGCAGCCCAGCCCCCTAATCTAGGGTTCCAGACACCACAAACTCTTACAGCTGGGTGCATCCAGGCTGTCCTCCAAGCGTTGATCACTGACCACAACGAGGCCAAGGCAGTGCTTCAACATGAGATTGTGAGTCTCACAATCAAACCATTCCACAACTGACAGGTGGCTCCCAGATCAACTCCTGGCCATGAATCCAAGCCTTGGCGGGCAAGTTAAAGCTAAACACGCCGCTAATCCTCAGCTCTGCAATAGAGCAAGTGGGGTACTATCAGGGCCAATATCAGCTCTCAGCCATCTGAGAGGATGACCCTTTGCTGGGATGAACCCTTCCCCTGCCCCATCTCAAAAAGGGCATGGACTTCAGAAGACAGGCAGCAGAGCAACAGGATTGGTGGAAGCGAGGTAAGTGTAAAGTTCAGCACAAATCAGCCTAAACCAGGTGAATCAAAGCCCAGCTAGCAACACAATGAACAGAACTTCATTCAACCTCCTAACCCGGCTGCACCTTTTGGTGCACCGACGTTTGCTCCCACCTGGTATCCAATAGGAAGCCCGGTATGTTTTGAACTATCTTCCTATGCATGATACTTAACAGTCAGCAGTCTGGAAAGCCTACCACATCTGCAACATTGAGCAGAGACAAGCAGAAGTCCAGGCTCCACTTCCTCAACGAGATGGTGGAGACGAATGCCCTGATGGTGGCCATCCTGTCTGTCATCCACCCCGAGCAGTTCCAGATAGGCGTACGGGCACACTAAACCTTGGGGAATGCAGAACCACTCTGCAAGGTGCTTGCTCATTGGCCTTCCTGCTTCATGGCCCTGCAGGTGATCAACAACCGAGTGAGCCCGTTGCATACAGACCCCGGTGCACCATACCCTGCCTTCAATGTCATTGCTTCAATCGGCAATTACACCAGTGGCCACATCATTTTTCCCACTCTGCTGGTCGACTTCCAGCAACTGCCTGGCAGTGTGCTGGCATTTTGCGTGCATATGCTCCCACACTTGGTTGAGAAGTTCATAGGGGACTGCATTTCCTTTGCCTGGTTCATGAAGGACTGAGTGTGTGAGTATGCTGGGGCACCTAAGGTGTCTTGGTGCAATCAAGAGGATGTGAAGTGTCTGCTGGGCTACTAGGACACATATTACCGGAAACCGTCTCTTCTGCCATGTACATACCAATGCGTTCACTGTCTTGAAATTTGTCTATTAAGTGCATGACATTTACTTCTTGTTCTTACAAACGTCCACAGCGGCCAAGAAGCGTCAGAAGATGGGAACGACTATGTACTATATTCCACGGATGCTGATTAATCAAGAAACCGCCAACCTCTACTTTATGAGACCATGTTGCTGCACTGCTCTTCGACAGTCCTTCTGCTTCCTAGCCTCTTGAAATGTTGTGGTGGCGACGTGGCTGGGGCATTGTCCAGGAGCAGCCGCTTCTTTCCAGAGTGATGGACTTCATTGCCAGAGTGCATGGTCAATGACCCAGACAAATTGAGTGCACCATTGGTGCCACTTGAACTGATGGATTCTGCTGCAGCTTGCAGAAGCTGCACAGGCGGCATAGAGGGGAACTGTGCCCAGGAAAATCCTGGTGGCATTGCCCCACGAGGTCGGGGTGGAGAGGAGGGTGGCGAGGCAACGTGCAGTGCAAGCTTGATGCTTGCGACAGGATGATCAACGTCAGGCACGGTATCTCCCGACACGAAGGGGAACCTCGCAATCAACGACTCCAACGGGCATGGTAGGGTGGGCTGTTCCAGAGGGTGGTCTGCCATCAGCCGGCCATACGCACTGCTTCCATACGCCACACTCACTGCATCTGCCTGTCCTTCGGCCGCCTGTCCTTTGACCACCTGTTTCTCCACCTCTCTCTCCTCTGCCTGTCTCTCTGCCTCTCTCCTCCATGTGTCCTGTGCCGCCCACTCATCATACATGGGAGGCCGCATGCTGTGCTTGGCATCATCAAGCCACTTGCTGGGGAGTGGGCCATGTCTGGCAATACAATCCCTTCAGTTTGAAATCTCAGAGCAAGCAGGCAACATGTCTAGTACTGTTACATCTGTAATACTACCTCCTCAGCTCCAGACACTCAATCTTACATATCTCCCACTCTGAATTCTGACTTGTGCATGCCTTGATAACCCCACTAGTCTTCTTCATGACCTTCACAATGATTGAACTTACATATCCAGGCTTCCCTATAGACATGGTACCATCTACGTACCAACAACTATTGAGCTCATCATCCACCATTTAATCTACATGGGTTCATAGAAGTGTGAGTTCAAATGCCTTGCCTATGGCCAGAACATTGCTTTGGTAATCATTTTTCACTCCTCACTGCGTATATGATCTCTAATCTCTGTTTTGATTACTGCACAATTTTGGTGCTCTGTCCAGTTTATAATCTGTGCCTGTGATGGCTGTTGGGTGCATGGTAGCTGACAATTATTATCCAAAATAAATTACATGATTGTAATGAATTCACAAGTGAGTCAGTCATATCTAGCATTCAATGCAAATAATCACTCCATTTCAGCAGATGCTACTGCCAATTGGTGTCATGAACAGTTATTGATGGTGTTACATTGTAACATCAAATCTTAGAGGGTGCATAGGCATGCCAACATGGTGTCAGAACAGTTAAGTTGCATATGATTGCCCCTTGGGCTCAGGCATATGGTTTCATTATTTAAGTGTGTGCCTGACATATCTAGAGCACAGGGAGGTTGACTTATGATGTGTTTATCAGTCACTGATTGCTACAGTACGATCAGCAAATTAATGGCTTTCATATATGTATGTTATGATTGACCATTGATGATCAAACAGATGTCATAAGAGAACTGCCAAGTGTGAGTGATGATGTCAATAAACATATTCTCTTAAGTTCTCTGCCATCTTTGTGTTCCAGTCTGTCATATTTCTGCTTCAATTGTAGACAGCTGATTACAGAGTTAATCACCCTGTCAATAGGGACATGAATCTCAGTGACAAAGATCTCTTTGAGCTTTTCAAAATGGTAAGAGGTTATGTAAACCCTGATAATGCTTGGTGACATGGTGACCAAAATGGAGTCTACCATTATAACTTAGTAATTGATTCATATAATCATCATTTACCAAGCATACAACAGCAATTATATCAGTATTGAAGGATCTTATGATAACTGGAATGAGCAGGAACACAGTAGAAATTGGGAAATAGTCACACTACCAGTCCAGATAGTATATGCATTGTTAAGTGCTTCAAAGCATTGAAATGTCAGTGTCCAAATATCTTGGTAATGATACAATGAAAGCATACAATGATGATAATTGAATTGTTGACAGGAATGATAAACAGACAGAATACACATTACAAAGATTCAACAGATGTAGCCACTTGGTAATGAAACAAACAATGCAGTTTCCTTCCATGAGCTCCAAGGCCATCTGCCTCAGGAACATGTATTTGTGACTTCCCCTATTGAGCCAGTGTTCTCATTGAATCTCTACCTATAAATTTCTTTTTGATTTTGATTGATGGCATGCACATTGGATATTAGTATGAGGACTACTAGCATGAATATTTCGAGGTTTTTTGGATTCAATCCAACTTGTGGCTGGGCTGAGAATGGTGAATCCTGTTAAGGACAATTACTTTTTGCAGCAGTTTGCAACAGAGTATGGGAGACTACACAGCAAGATGACTCATTGACAGGTCAGATTTTTGACCTGTCAAAGAGTGAACCTTGCGTGGCACGGGCGCTTATTGAGCGCTTATTGCACAATGTAGCCTGAATCATTACAAGCCTTCAAAGTACACATCAGTAACAAATGATACAAGCATACTATATGCTCCTGAAAGCCCTTCATTCAGAGGATATAAAGGGTGAAGGCTATGCATATACAATGGTAGTGCAGCCACAAAATGCAAAACAAAACAAACTCACATGTGCCTCTGCATCTACAAAGGTGGAGCCACATACCAGAAACAGCAGCAAGTAGATTGTAATGTACACTACTAGATACAAAGGTGCTTATAGGCATACAATTGCATTCTTAGAGATCATTTACCAGGTGCAAAGTAGCACAGTAACCATGCTACTAATGGCCTTGTGGCTGAATTTTAAACTCAGCCCAAACATCGGCAGGCCTACCTTAACAGGGCAAGGAAATGGGCTTATCAGCCAATCGGCATCTCTCCCCTGCCGCACGGAGTTGCATCTGCCTGGAAATTCCAGGTGGATGCAACTCCGAACGGCACACGGGTGCTTAATGGGCGCTTAGTAAGCAGATCTAAACAAATGCGGAGAAATCAGTGAATATTCCCAAAAGCATAGA